GAGGGAAAGGCTTTCTCCAGAGCAGCTAGTTGGACTGGACCCCCAAAGCTCTGTGACTCTGTGAACAAACAGACCCAGCCCACTGGCCCCCTGCAGTTAGGCCACCTTGTTTCTCCTAACGGCAGTTTAATAATTTGGTATTATGATTTGTTTGCTATTTGTCTCTCCCGCTAGACAATAAGTCCCAAGAGGACAGGGACCATGTATCCACAATGCACTGCACACAATGACACACAGCAAGTGCTCCATAAAAAGCTGTTAGTGAGTGAGTCAGTAAATAGGTGCTTTGTAGATTTGTAAATAAATTTGTGGATGATTTGTAGATAAAAAGCTGCATGCGTTTGGAGCTCCCTAATAGAGTTCCAGGGAGGACTGGGATGCTAAGAGGAACCTTAAGGTGGTCTTTGAGTTTTAGAAGGAATTCGACAGTAGAAAGGAAGCATTTTAGTGCACATGCGACTCCAGAGCTGCCATAACTTGGCCAGTTGGCTCCTAGTCCTTTTTGTAGTGAATCCTACTGGGAAAAGATGTAAAACATGCACATCATTATATGTACAGTTTTTAGAAATTATATACACATGTGGCTGTCATTGCATATATTAAATATCAGTGAATTTTGAGATCTTTCTTAAGTAACAGTAAAAAGAAGTTCTTAGATTTTCTTCCTATATACCAGTGTGTGGGCCTGTGCAGCCTCTTTGGCAGCCACTACTGCTGTACACGATGCAGGCACTGGTGCACTCAGCACAGCCTGGTCTCTCCCCATTTACTTATCTCCCCTCTGAGCTTTCCCCCCACTACACAGGGAATTCTTGAAGCAGGGAGGAACATTCACATTTTTTTTTTTTTAACGTAAAGAATACAAAACAAACTCCAGTATGTGTTGTAATGCTCAGGGGTTTATGAGAGTGAAGGCTCCACCTCTGCTTCTGGCAGAGTCAGTGGACTGGTGAACCTCTGTAAAGACATAAACCCTGATTTTCCTTGGTGAGCCTACAAGTATTTTTAACTCCTGTAATAGACCAGGCTTAGATGCGAGAAATTTTTAATGGACAAGCAAAGGTGAGAGTCAAGTCGGAGCTACAGGTGATATGAACCATGGATGAGTGAAAAATGTTTTTGGAGTCAAAATCCTTGATGATCTATGGATAGAAATACATCAATCTCCTCCTTTTTAGTTTGTCAAACATACCAGTAAATCGCTCTTGAAAAACATTTGTAGTTTAACTATGTTTTATAATTAGGAAAGAGTTTTGGAGACATCCGGGATAAATTTTTTATGTTAAAGTCAAGGATTGAGCTGTTTGTTTCCAGGTAACAGTGGTGGGATAGGATCCACATGCCCTGGTGGGCAGACCACACAGCCACTGAGGTGTATTTTTGTTGGTTTTACTAGCTGGACTGGGGTAAGTTGTGGGTAGACAGATGGCAGTCACTGTTTGATGGAGGTTGCTCATCCCTCTTGGAGCCTCTGGATACAGGGCAATTGATGCCTTTGCATACGGATCCTTTAATCTTTGTGTATATAGTTGAAGTGGCTAGGTGTGCTCCCTCAGGGCTTGTGAATTTACTGAGCAGGCAGAATCTATTCAACTCAGTTCCTTCGTGTCAGTTCACTTTTCATTTATACAAGCATGTTGGCCTTAGTCCAGAGTTTTCATTCTTTCATCAAGGTATGCAAGCAAACGGAGAGCTCCACCAACCTTGTGTACCTTGTTGCCACAGATTTCATAAGCAGCTGGCATACAATAAATATTTAGCTGATTATATTTTTGCATATCTAACATATACCAGGCAAGTCTGTAAATTTTCGGTGTCACTGACCACATTGGGAATCCAACAGAAGTTATGGGTCTTTTCCTCAGAAAAATGCCCATGATATACACATAAAAATGTTTGTATCTTTTTGAAGGGTCTTTATGGGCTTTTGAAGTCTACTCTGGCTTTAGGCACCTCTGGGGAGAAGAGCTAGTTAGGGACAATGAACAGTGTATTTGAGCAGAATTGAGGATCCAGTTCAAGTAAGACACCATCAACTGGTAATGACCCTACTCCCCACCAGCTTCCAGGTCAGGTCATTTTCCCTAAGTATACTCTCTTGCCTGGGTGCATGGGTGCAAGAAAAAAGATGGTGAGATTGATGCAGAGATGGGGATTGCTAGGTTGAGGCAGTGGGAGAACATGTATATGAGTGTGTATGAACTATGGCTGCTATTAGGAATGTATTTGAAATAAATGAGTAAGTACCCAGAACTTGAGTAACCAGAAAAGGTAGAGAAGGAACTCAAAAGGGGATAAAAGGGCTTAGATACCTGGGAGGGAGAGAAAGAGGTTGCTGGAAGCTAGAGAATGTTTGGATGGAATTGAGAGTGAGAGAGGTAAAAAGCTAGGGAGCAATGGTCACAGGATGAGATTTTAGTGCAGGAAAGACTGCATAAGTGGAGCGCTTCCGTGTGGGGATTGACCATGAGTCCGTGTGTGGTATGACCATGAGTCTAGTGTCAGATGTTATTTGAGAACGTAGGATGCATGCAGAAGGTGAGGGGAGAAGCCTCTAAGATGTGTGATAAGATCATCAGTTAATTTGGGCAAGGGACTTCCCTGACTTTAGAGGAAGAAAAGACTCTCTTAAGTTGAGTCTTCCCTGGAAACTTCTCCACTACTCTGATGCCAATTTCTCTACTTTGCTTCCTGTCTCCTATTCCCAAATACGCACATGCTTGGGAGTCAGACCCACCTGCGATTCAAACCACTTACTACTGGGAGAACCCTAGCTCAATGCCTCAGCCTTCTCAGTTTTAATCCTGTGGATGTTCGAAAATTATTTTTGCAGAAGCCCCCACTGATTGTGCTAGCTTCCATCTGTAGTATGGTTATAACAACACCTCACTGGACTGGGTATTCAGTGAGATAATGTGGGGACCGCGCCTGTCCTAGTGCCTGTCATAATCATAACTGCCCAAAAACCCAGGTTTCCTCCTACTCGGTGACTTTTGTGCCTAACACCTGTGGTTAAAAACTGCCCCTTGTGCTTCCCATGTGGCTTTTTCATTTAACTGGTTTGTATTCACTTTCTTGTACATCATACAAAGCAAAAAAACGTAAAGATGATATTGAACCCACGTCCAGGGTTCCAAGAGGTGAAATAAAAAGATTGTTATGTTTTCATGTACTTTTCTATGTTAAAGATCAATATTTAAAATAATAAATAAGCAATAAAGCAAAACAAAAAGCCAAACCTTTAACCAGATGGAAGCGATATGACAATGTGATGGAAGCCACCAGATTCATTGGGCTGTGTCCCGGGTCTTTATTAGTTGGCAGCCTGGTTTCATTTTTAGGCTCAAGGAACTAAATGGATCAACGAGGGGCTTTGAATCCCAGCATTTCGAGCTCTTGGCTTTGGGAAGAGGAAGAGATTATGAAAATCCAGGAGCCAAAATATGTTTCTTAAAATAAAACGCGTACAGAGGTGTGCGTGGACACAGAAACTGTGACTTGGGCGTTAGAATTTTCACACAGAGAGAACCCACCCAGTCTACTAACGCCGGCCTGGCCCCCAAAGTAACAGAATCCGAGTCTCCAGGCCAGATTTTCCCTCCAGCCATTCCCGGCCACGCAAAGCGGAGCTGGGAGCGCACAGAAAGGGATGTCTTCATCGCCAACCAGGATGGAACAAACCCACTCGCTCAGGGAGTGCTGAGAACCGAAGGGTCCCTCCAACGCCGGCAGCAGCCAACATGACTTGACTGCCCCATCCCGTGCCGTGCTTACTCTCCAGGCGCCCCCACCCTTTCCGGGTGCGCGCGCACAAGCCGGGGAGCCGGAGAGCTGTGCGCCCGGCAGCCTGCGGGCGGCAGCGGCCGATAGGCTCACAGGGAGGGGTGGCCAGGGCGGCGGCGGAGGAGCTGGCGCTGCAGCCGGTCCCCTCGGGCCGCGCCCCGCGCTGTGCCGCCACCTGCGCGTTCTCTCAGGGTTCTTCAGCGCCGAGGCTGTGTGGGTTTTCCGTGCCGCAGCGGCGGTATCACTGCGTCCGCCAATTAGGAGATTCGGCGTTTGGCTCCTTGTGGCGCGGGACGAGCAGCGCTGCCGGTTCTGGCGAGCGGAGGGTGCGCCGCGCGCGTCCCTCCCGCCGCGCTCCCCGCGACGTTTTCCGAGGTGGGTAGAGAACTGTTGTGACTTTTGAGGTCCGACTCCTCCTTCCGGGCAGCCTCCCACGCGCCAGCCCCGAGAGAGGCCAATGTGACGGGCAGGCCCCGAAAGCTCACTGCGTGGTGTTGGGACTTGGAACGTGTCCGGGAGCCCGCGGCGCTGTGCGCGCTGGTGAGTTTGGCGCAGGGTGGGGTGTCCTCCGGCGCGAGAGGCAGAGAGGACCAAGCGCTCTGCCCCATCGCTCACCCCCTAGTGCTGCCTCCACTTTGAGAGTAATTAAGACTTAAGCGTGACTGCGGAGCTGGTAGGATGCGGGCGCCGGGCGCGGGCTTTCCCTCTGCTCAGAGTAATGGAGCGGGTCGGTGAGCGGAACAAAGGCGCCCGCCTTGGGGTGCAGGTCCTCGGCTGAAGACCGCCGGTCCTGCTCCACGACGGCTGCAGGTGGACGTGGGTGGTGGCTGTACGGCCCGAGGCGCGGCGCGCTCCCCTGCAGGCGGGCGGCTAACCCTGAGCCGAGGCACCTGCGTGCCGCTCCCACCCGGCGCTGATAGCCCCGCGCTGCCGGCGCGCCTGACTCGGTGGTCCGCTGCTCCGGTAGCCCTGCTCCCGGCGGCCCGAGGGCCAGCGGCGAACCACTGGCTGGGGCCGAGGAGAGGCCCCCGGCCCTTCGCAGAGAAGCTGCGTGCCGCTCCCACCCGGCGCTGGGATAGCCCCGCTGCCGGCGCGCCTGACTCGGTGGTCCGCTGCTCCGGTAGCCCTGCTCCCGGCGGCCCGAGGGCCAGCGGCGAACCACTGGCTGGGGCCGAGGAGAGGCCCCCGGCCCTTCGCAGAGAAGCGGAGGCGCCTGGAAGGGGCCGCGCTCCGTGGACTGCGCCGGCATCTCAAGGAGCACTTCTACAGACCCAAGGCTTCCATGTGAGCGATTTCGCTCTCTTCTTGGGCGCCACGTCCTCCCAATCGTCTCTGCTGCCGGAACATCCGCGCTGTGGGGCCGGGAGCGGCTGAGATCCTCGTCGGCTGTCCGGAGTGTGAGGCTCGCACGGCCCCGGCTGCTCCGCGCCTCGCTGGAGCCCAAGGGGGGCGCGGGTCCGGGGCAAGGGCCGGCTGGGCGTGTTTGATGGCTTCACTGAGAAGGGTCAAAGTGTTGCTGGTGTTGAACTTGATTGCGGTGGCCGGCTTCGTGCTCTTCCTGGCTAAGTGCCGGCCCATCGCGGTGCGTAGCGGAGACGCCTTCCACGAGATTCGGCCGCGCGCGGAGCCTGTCAACCTCAGCGCGCACAGCGCCAGCCCCATCCAGGATGCAGTCCTGAAGCGCCTCTCGCTGCTCGAGGACATCGTCTACCGACAGCTGAATGGTAAGGACCAGCGTCAGCGCCCACGGGCTCGGTAAACGCCTGGGGCCCTGAGCGCTGTGTTGGGGAGCCCGCACCTCCTGGTTTCCGCGCGCTCCCTCTTACTCTCTCTTCACTGTCTTCACCAGGAGGCCGGGGCTGCTGGAAAGAATTACCTGATTCTTTTCTGTGCTCCAGCCGTAAGTTTGCTTTTACTGTGGAAACATGTCAGTACAGCGGGCTCCCGGTCCCCGCGTGCAGGAATTATCTGGAGACTCTATAACCGAAGTGCAGAGAAACTAGTCGTGTGGCCAAATGGGACTGGAGGCCCAACCCAACTTAGAGGAAGGAACAGCGCTTGGTGGAGTCCGACAAGGGAGGGACATTGGTGGGTTTAAATGTCTGCAGAGTCAAGGCCTCAAGTCTGGAGCTAATGCGCTTTGGTAGTAAATTGGATTAGGCAGGCTACACAGACAATAATGACGACTCCTGCTTCCCACAGCCCAGGTGGAGGCTGCTTTTAAAACACACCCGCTTTATGCCAGAGAGCTGCTTGAGAGCAATGTTAAAGTTCTCAGGTGGGTTGGGGAAGTATTTTTTTACGTTGTCGTAAAGCTGTGTGTGCCATCCAATTACTGCAGGCCCTCATAACTTCGATAGGTTCAACCTCATAACGTCGATGAGATGCTATAGGAACTTATCTTTTCCTAATATCAGTTAGCCTATGGTAAAATTGGTTTCGTCATACCAGTCTCCCTAAAGTCACAGAACCTATCCACGAAGTTAAGTGAGGACTTACTGTAATGACAGTTGTCAAAAGCTGTCCCATCTAAAATGTTCTCAGTACTTCAGAAGAGGGAGTCACACTTGGTCCAGGGACTGATAGGACATTGGGTACTTGCTGTCCCCAAGGTCAGATTAATAATTCTCTACTGGAGTACAGGCAGCTCTCCAGGGTCCATACAGTTGGTATCCAAGGCAGATCCAAGGCTGCCACCTCCTGTCCTGGGCTTCTATCTCATGTTCTCATGGTAGTTTCAGATAATCATAAAGGTGATGATAATAATCGTGCTGCTAGTAAGTTGTAGAGTCTGGAATCAGAACTCCTAATTATAACGAGTATCAAATTTAGTGACAGGAAGATTCTACATTAAGAAGACTGGACTCAACTGTCTTCTCTGCAGTTCCAGAGAGAGACCAGACCAGTGGCAGAGAGAAAGATGACCACAGACTGTTCTCTTTCTGCTCTCCAGTGATCTCTTCTGGGTCCTTCTGGGTAGGATGTGGTCAGATCTCTGAGTACCCTCTGAAAGGACCCCTTGGTTTTCTCCCTGTCATTCAACAAGTGTCCAGGGGATGCCTTGAACTTGTGTATGCAGTGGGAAACTGCAGTCTCACTGATGCCTCGCAGACAGTGTGGCCTGGCTGTCAGTGTAGCCTGCTGCAGGGGTCGTGAGGGAGCTTTTCTCCTGAGTGTCAAAAAACCAAGACACAGAATGAAACAAAATCCACAGTTTGTTTCTGGAGGAATTAGAAGCTTATGGGGTGGACCTTATTATTCTACACAGATACCTGCCATAGATGTACCCAGAGGACCCAAAAGAGAAGGTGCAAGGATAGCATGGGTTCCCTCTCTGTGAGGCTGCACTCAAGGACATAAGTCATTATAGTATTGGTTTCAGTTAGGAAACTGAATATGATATAGTCATACACTTCAAAATGCTCTAGTAGGAATAATAAAATTCTAAGTGATAGTATTTACTAAGTGCAACAGACACGCAGGGACTCATTTAGTCTTTATAGCAACCCTAGGAGATAGACAGTGTTACTCCTTTTCACTGCCCCCAACCCCCCCACCCTGGTAGCTTGCTCACAATAACCCAGCCAAGGACTGGCAGGGCTGGGAACTGAACTTGGATAGTTTGGTTCCAGAATTGAGGTTCTTAGCTGCTGCACCAGCCCGCCTGAATCTTTCTTGAGCATCGGAGTCACATGGAGGGCCTGTCAAGACACATTTCTGGGCGTTATCCCCAGAGTCTCTGATTCAGTAGATCTGGGGTAAGGCTGGCCATAGACTTTGCATCTCTAATAAACCCAAGGTCTATTACCCTCTACTCTACTGCCTACACCGAGCAGAGCAAAGAGGAAAACTCATTTGCCTGCCAATACCAGCTGGTGGAGGTGGGGACTTTTGAGATGCCAAGAGCTTGCTTCAGATGAGCTGAGGGTCTGGCTTCTTTTCCTGTGTGCTCTTTTGCCATGCAAGCAACTCCCTAGGGGGCGGGGATGTGTGGCACTTGAGACTGGTTGGGTCAGGTACTGTGGGAAGGCTGAATTTTCTTGACTTGCAGCCTCTGAGGAGGCATTGGCAGGGTTGAGAGCTTTTCCTGGGCAAGGCAAGAATTCAAGTTGCAGCTAGGTAGATGTTATCTTCCTGGCTGCAGAGTGTAATTTGTAGTGACATGAAGACTGGAGGAAGAGAGCAGGGAAAGGTAATGAAATGGAGAGGAACCACCCATCTCTACCCCACTCCCCATCACTCCTTCCTTTGCCTGTGCTTGTTTTGGTTAATGTGTGTCCCATCTGTTAATGTGCTAGGCATGCAGGGGCTACCTGCTGCAGCAGGAGGGCGGCAGAGGGAGGAAGGTCTCCTGGTGCCTGGGTGATGGGACCTGATTGCCGTGTCTACTTGCTCTGCCGCCTGTCTCCATCCCTTGGGACCGAAGGAGGAGAAGGAAACCTTGACCTTGCCATTCTTTATTCCATCAGTCCCCAACCTTTTTGTCACCTTGCCGTGTCTACTTGCTCTGCCGCCTGTCTCCATCTCTTGGGACCGAAGGAGGAGAAGGAAACCTTGACATTCTTTATTCTAGCAGTCCCCAACCTTTTTGTCACCAGAGGCTGGTGCTCCTATGAGAATCTAATGCTTGATGATCTGAGGTAGAGCTGAGGCGGTGATGCTAGCCCTGGGGAGTGGCTGCAGATACAGATGAAGCTAGGCTTACTTGCCTGCTGCTCACCTCTTGCTTTCTGGCCAGGCTCCTAATGGGCCATGGAACGGCACTGGTCTGCGACCCGGGAGTTGGGGACCCCTGCTTTATTTCACAGGGTTATGGAGGGCCCGTGAGAGCCAGGCACTGAGCACACAAGGCCACTTGGGTCCAGCCCCATCTGGTACAAAGTGAGAGCTGGCAATTTAAAGGTTGCTCATATTTCTTAAACCTTTCCTGTGGACCCTTACGCAGTTATGTCAGCAGGAGCTCCTTGAGGGATCCCCCTTCCAGCTGTGAGCACAGCTATCTCGAGTGCCCTCTCACTCGTGGAACAGGTTTCTTTGGGTATCCTGAGACAGAATCCCCTGGGTTAGGGGGCCTGGGTGACCAGAGTTCCTCAGGACTGGCCTCTCTGCCAAGATTTTTGGTGCCAAGGTCCTAAATCCTGCCTTATGAAAAAGTTAAAGGATATAGTTTTATGTTTTATTTTTCTTAATACAGGACAAAAAACATATTTTAAAGAGACCGTGGAGATGCTGGTATGGAGGTGAGAGCATACAGAGATGAGTTAGTGTTTTCCCTCTTGACTCTTGTATCTGCTCTTCCATTCTGTCTGTGAGGTCCCACTGCTGACCCTGACCTTTGAGGCAGTACCCGTTAACCCAGTGCCCTGCTTCTAGTCTCTCACCCCTCCCTCTACTGAGTGTGTGTAGCTCCGGCTATCTGAGTGGGAAGCAACATCTCCCTTGGGCCCCAAACCTTCCAGGGCTCTCTGTTTCCTAAGGAATCATGGAGGCTGACAGTCAGGGCCTGCCACAGCCAGCTCCAACCCTCATCTCCCATGTTCCCACCTTTGCCCAGTGTCCTCTGCCTCTTCGAGCCGGACTGATGGACTTGCTGAAATACCTCACATTTGCCTTCAGATCATAGCCTTCACATTTCAGCCCTAGTCTTTGAGAAGTACTAGTTATCCTGGTTTGCTCTCTCCTCCCCTTTCTACATTCATCCATCCTTTAAAGCTTGGTTCAAGGTCACTGCTTAGGGGGTGGGAAAATTGTGCCAGGCACGTGTTCTGAGTATTTCCTGCTTTAAGCTGCACGAGGCTTCGTTGCCAGTGACCTTTTGTACCCACGGCTCGTGTACCCATGGCTTTGTACCTTTTGTACTCTTGTGCCTCCATGGGTTTATCTGTCGATTCCAGAATTGGACTGTCGGCTTTATAAGGGCTGGAACCATATTTTGAGCTTTTAAACCCACTTCCTGTTTGCCCTGAGAATACTCGCCGGCAGCACTCATGGCTGCAGCGTTTACCCCGAGATAATCCACAGATTACAATCCTATCTTTACCCCCAAAGTTTGCTACAAAATATCTCGCTTTTATTATTATTTTTGCATCACTCTGGTATATCAATAGTCTTTGGAAACAAAAGACATTATTCTGTTTATAGCATTCTGTTTTTAGTAATGGTATTTCCGTTTTCAAAATACAGTAATTCTCCATAGCTGAAAATGTCAAATCCTAGAAAATTTAGCATTCCTATGCGTGATGTTAATGCTGGCAGCAAGCTGTACTTTTTTGCCCTAAATGAGAAAGGGTTAATACTATCTCTATCCCTCAGCATCCGCCATAACACCTTGTCTATAATGTGGTCACCTAAAGTTTATTGGTTGATTAATTGGATAGGAACTAGTTTTAGAAGGTAACTGATCTTTAAAGGCTGGGTTGGGTTGGGTGGATATGGTGAGGGGAAGGGGCTGGAGAGACAGCTGAGGAGGCTGAGTGTGAGGAAGCCGTCTTATCTCTACCATCTTGCCCATGCTATCTTGGGGCTGCTCTGGTCCTTCATCTCCAGACTGAAGGGCACCGGGTCCTTCTGAGAAGCCTGGGAGTGAAGCAGTCAGCCACACTAGGAGCCAGCATACTTCAGTATGTTTTCTTTGACTATGTAATTTTATAATATGAATATAGTTTTATATTCCTTTTTTTGTAGAATGAAGTTAATTTATATTTATTGCAGAAAATTCGGTAAA